GAACGGCCTATTCAGATTGTAAACCGACGAATCATGAAGTTGAGAAATAAGGAAATCCCGCTAGTGAAAGTAGATTGGCAAAACCATGGTGGCGTTTATGCCACTTCGGAAAAGGAAGACAATATGATGAAAAGATATCCTGAACTATTCCCCCTGGACCAAGTGTTCTTCCGAAATGAAAGTAATCCGAGTTTAGAGGACCAAACTCTTTTTAAGAGGGGAAGACTGTGACAACTCTCACTTTTGATTAGCGTTAAATTGTGTTTAAGCATGAAAAGTAATTGATTAGGATGAAATCCTAATTTGTTTGTGTGAGTGTGTTGCTTAGAATGCATTTTTATCTGTTTGTTACTGAATGATCTGTTCATGTTTTAATTTCGAATTGCAAATTGAAAGCCCTACCAGCGACCGAGCCAGAAATTGATTTGTGTTTTATACTAATTAGGATTTATATGATTTTATGGTTGGTTTAATTAAAATTTGATTTGGAATGATTAAATTAGAATAAATAAAGTTAAATTACATTAGTTTGAATTTATTACACAATTGCCATTGAGTGGATTAATTCTAGGCCATTTATTTAGTCTTGATTCATATGTTGGCACTATCATTTTACCATTTCCTCAAGACCAAACCGTGAGAGAGAGGGAGAATAGGGGAAAATTGAATTCATCTAGAAATTTTGCTTGAAATTAGAGGATTTGAAGAGGACTTGCAAAATTGGGCTACCATACTTGGAGTTCAAGACTTAAGGTAGGAAATTCATTCTCTTGATTATGAATTTAAGTTGTTACATGCATTGTTCATGAAAGTTTCATTGATATTATGTCCAAATTGGTGATTAGAGTCAAAAATTAGCTTAAAGTGTTGATTTGGGAGTGAATTCATACATGCATGTCCATATCATAGAGTTTGATGTAATTTTTCATGAAATTCTTACATGTATGTTCATATTCTAGTTGTGATCCAAGAATTCACCATGTTTTTGAGTTCAAGCTTGCATTTGATCATGCTTTGGAGCATTGGAATTCATAAGAACTCATGCATGTTATGTTCTTGCATTGTTCTTCAAGTTTCATTAAAAATTGTGTTCAATTGTCACACCCTTGGGTTTTATAGATTTTATAAAAATGATCTTCAAAACATGTTGTAGTATGAGTTTCTAAGTGTTTTTCAGAAATTTGGCCCAAAAGGATGAGTTTTGGCATGTTTGACTCTTGGTTTGAGCTTTGGAAGCAAATCTGGAAAACCCAGATTTTGGCTTCCACGCTTGAGCGAAGTATTCCACGCTCAAGCGACCACCTTTGTGTTCAGAACTCCGTTGGGTGCTCGAGCAACGGAATGCTGGCTCGAGTGTAGATTGCAAGCTCTCAGGTTTTTGCATGTGCAGACGCAAGCTCGAGCGACGAGACCTACGCTCGAGCGAAGAATTGTGTCTCACGCTCGAGCGAACATCGAGCGGAGAATTTCAGCAACCAGTACTTTTTGCATTTTTACAGACCGCTCGAGCGAGGGAGTCTACGCTTGAGCGACCTCTCTGTTTTGGTAAGCTCGCTCAAGCGGAGAAAGCCACGCTCGAGCGAGACCCCTGTTTTCAACAAATTTTGAAAAGTGTTTTAAAGTACATTTTTGCATCCTCATTTCATCCTAGGCATTCCTAGGCCATGTTTAAGGCATCTTAATGAGGATAATGTTTTAGAATCACACCAAGTCAAGTTAGGGGCTAAATCATTAATCCCAAGTGTGTAACTTAGTGTGCGTTCGTTCTGCAACTGTGTAGGGTTGGCACCCGAGGACGCTGATTAGCCTGTCCTAGGCTTAGCCGGGTACTACAGGAGGTTCGCGAAAGACTTCTCCAAGATTGCTTTACCATTGACTCAGTTGACTCAGAAGGGGATATCATTTGACTCGACGAATCAGAGAAAATCAGCCTTCCAAGAGTTAAAGACTCGACTTGTGGCTGCACCGATTCTCACCCTACCCTCAGGTACGGATGGATTTAATGGTTGACACTGATTATAAAAAGGCTAGGAAGTTTGAAGGCGGGCTCAATGTAGAGATACTTGATTGAATCAATGTCTTGAAACTACTCAAATATGTGGATGTTCTTGACCGAGCAATAATAGCCGAGACGAATGTGGCAGCATTGAAACAAACTAAAACGCCAGCGACTGAGTGGCGAGGTAAGAGGCAGGGCTTTAACTTTAAGAAAGGTCGGAATAGTTCATTGAACAAGAAGCAAAACATTGGGTCATCGAGTGGTTCTAGCCAGGGCAACAATTCTATACCACCTTGTTCAGAATGCGGCAAGAGACACAAAGGGGTGTGTTACAGAATTTCTAGTGCTTGTTACAAATGTGGCAAAGTGGGCCTCATGGTTAAAGACTGTCCACTCACTTCCCAGAATCTCAGTAAACCTATGGCAAGTGCTGTAGCTTCAACTGCTACACCAAAACCCACTATCAAAGCAACCGGAAAAGAACCTTTGAGACAAGGCCGAGTGCTTGCACTTGTACCAGGAGACGTGCAGAATACCGAGACAATTGTGTCAGGTATACTTTCAATTTGTGCCCAAAATGTTTATATTTTGATTGATTCGGGGTTTACACATTCGTTTGTCGCGCATGCTTTTGCACGAAAGTTAAATAGACCATTGGAACCTATGAATTATTTGTTAGTTGTATCTTCACCTGCTGGGGGATCCATGACTTGTGCTTATGTGTATCCTGCATGTGAGATTGTTATTGGAGATGTACATTTGTATGTTGATTTACTGCCTTTGAATATTGACCATTTCGATATAATTTTGGGAATGGACTGATTAACAAAATATCATGTTTCCATAGACTGTGTAACGAAATAAGTTATTTTTCGTCCACCTGGATTGCTTGAATTTGTATTTAACGGAGTTGGTGTAGTACCTCCCCCATATCTGATTTCGTCCATGAAAGCATTCAAATTAATTAAAAAGGGGTGTAAAGGGTATTTATGTTGCATATTGGCTATACTTGCTGATACTAAAGCTAATGTGGACAGTATTCCTATAGTCAAAGAATTCCTAGATGTTTTTCCAGATGACTTGCCAGGGGATTTGATTGATAGGGAGATTGAATTCGCCATTGAGGTGTTACCAAGTACACAGTCAATTTCTAAAGCTCCGTACAGAATGACACCTACCGAATTGAAAGAATTGAAAGAATTGTTAGATAAGAAGTTCATCAAGCCCAGTACTTCACCGTGGGGCGCACTAGTCTTATTTGTGAAAAAGAAAGACGGCTCACTAAGACTCTGCATTGACTACCGCGAATTGAACAAGGTAACAGTGAAAAGCAAGTACCCATTGCCTCGTATTGACGATTTATTTGATCAATTGCAAGGTGCTCAAGTTTTCTCCAAAATTGACCTTAGATCCGGATATCATCAGTTGAAAGTCAAAGCAGAGGACATTGAAAAGACCGTCTTCCAAACGAGGTACGGACATTATGAATTTCTTGTTATGCCTTTTGGAGTTACTAATGCGCCTGCTGCATTTATGGACCTTATGAACAGAATTTTCAAACCATTCCTCGACGAATTCGTGATTGTTTTTGTAGATGACATTTTGATTTATTCCAAGAGTAAGGAAGAACATGAACGTCATTTGAGAATTGCTTTACAGACCTTAAGAGAACAAAAACTGTATGCAAAGCTAACAAAGTGTGAATTTCGGCTTGACAATGTTATGTTTTTTGGGGCATGTGATTAGTAAGGATGGCATTTCAATTGACCCACAAAAGATTGAAGTAGTGGTGAATTGGCCTAGACTGACTAATGTTACTGAAGTTCGGAGTTTCTTGGGTTTAGCTGGGTACTACAAGAGGTTTGTGAAAGATTTTTTCAAAATTGCTCTACCATTGACTCAATTGACTCAAAAGGGGATATCATTTGACTGGACCGATCAGAAAGAATCAGCTTTCCAAGAATTGAAAACTCGACTTGTGACTGCACCAATTCTTACCCTACCCTCAGGTACGGATGGATTTACTATTTTTAGTGATGCTTCTTATAAGGGTTTGGGATGTGTATTAATGCAGAATGGTAAAGTTATTGCGTATGCTTCATGACAACTGAGACCACATGAGAAGAACTACCCAACTCATGATTTAAAACTTGCCGCAGTGGTATTTGCATTGAAAATTTAGCGCCATTACTTATATGGGGCAACATGTGAAGTGTACACAGATCACAAGAGTCTGAAAATATTTTTTTACACAGAAAGAGTTGAACATGAAACAGCGGAGATGGTTAAAACTGATAAAAGACTATGACTTGCAAATTTTGTACCATCCGGGAAAAACTAACACCGTTGTTGATGCACTGAGTCGGAAATCAATTGGAAATTTGGTCTGTTTGCTCACCGGACAGAAAGAACTGCTATGTGATCTTGAGAAATTTGAAGTTGAGATTGTTTTACGAGAACAAGGTGGGACATTAGCTGTTATTTCTGCTTAATCGGCACTTATTGGGGAGATTAAAAAGAAACAACACCAAGATGACTTTTTAAAGAAGATCATTGATGAACGGGAATCCAAACCAAGGCCGGACTTTAAATTTGAAAACAATGTATTGAAATTTTAGGGAAGGTTATGTGTACCAAATGATTCTGAACTAAAAAGGCGAATTTTGCAAGGTCACAATTCAAAACTTTCCATCCATCTAGGAAATACAAAAATGTACCAAGATTTGAAGCTTAATTTCTGGTGGCTGGGAATGAAGAAAGAAATTACTGAGTTTGTGTCAAAATGCCTACATTGCTAACAAGTTAAAGCCGAACATCAATGACCTACAGGTTTACTTCAGCCCTTACCAATACCGGAGTGGAAATGAGAACTTATTACTATGTATTTCATTGTTGGGTTACCTCACTCCAGTAGAGGTATGGATTCAATTTGGGTTATTGTTAATATCTGAACCAATGCAGCCCAATGTGTAAAGTGAGGAGCAAAGACAAACTAGTTAACCACATGAACAACATAGGCAAGATCAAGACGAGTAACCGTCAGATAGACTAAGCAACCCACGAGCTCTTGATACAAAGTAGGATTATCCAGAAGAACACCATCAGTAGTGTTGCGCTTTACATTAAGCTCAACGGAGGTATTAGAAATCTTAGTGTTAGTGAGATTGGCACGATGAATAACCTCATTGGCATACTTGGCATGAGATAAAAAGTAGCCTTTGGGAGAAGAAACTACCTCAATACCAAGACAATACCGCGATGGGCCCAAATCCTTCATTTCAAAGGTGCGAAAAAGATGCTGCTTGACCTCAGATATAGCAAAAGAGTCAGAATCAGTGATGATCACATTATCCACATACAATAATAACGCAACAAACCCAGTAGAGGTGTGGAGAAGAAATAAAGCAGAGTCTTGGGCACAAGAATGAAACCTAAGCTCAATAACAGCAGTCTGAAAGCGATCATACCAAGCACGAGGAGACTACTTCAGACCATAAAGAGAACGCCGAAGGCGACCAACCTGCCTAAAGGAATGGTGAAGGCTGCGGGGAGAACGTATGTAAACCTCCTCAGTGAGATGGTCATTAAGAAAAGCATTCTTAACATCCATCTGATAAAGAGGTCAAGAACGAATAGCAGCGACAGAGATTAAAGTACAAACAGTAGTCATAGTGGCAACATGAGTAAAAGTCTTCTCATAATCAATACCATACTTCTGTGAGAAACTTTTGGTAACCAGATGAGCTTTGTAGCGCTCAAGAGAACCATCATTATGAGTCTTGATTTTGTTGACCCATTTACAACCAACTAGATTCTTACCAACATGCAAATGAACCAACTCCCAAGTACTAGTTTTCTATAAAGTAGACAACTCATCCTCCATATCTTGAACCCAATAAGAATCCTGACAGGCCTCTTTGTAAGACTTAGTGTGACTACCCTCACATCTGATTAGCGTTAAATTGTGATTAAGTCTGATAAGCAATTGATTAAGATGAAATCCTGAATTGATTGCATGAGTGTGTTGCTTTAACTACATTTCTATTTGTTTGTCATTAAATGATCTATTCATGTTTTGATTTCGAACTGCGAATTGAAAGCCGTATCGGCGATCGAATTAGAAATTGACTAGTGTTATATGCTAATTAGGATTTGTGGAATTTTATGGTAGGTATAATTAAAATTTGATTTGGAATGATTAAATTAGAATAAATAAAGTTAAATTACATTAGTTTGAATTTATTACACAATTGCCATTGAGTGGATTAATTCTAGGCCATTTATTTAGTCTTGATTCATATGTTGGCACTATCATTTTACCATTTCCTCAAGACCAAACCGTGAGAGAGAGGGAGAATAGGGGAAAATTGAATTCATCTAGAAATTTTGCTTGAAATTAGAGGATTTGAAGAGGACTTGCAAAATTGGGCTACCATACTTGGAGTTCAAGACTTAAGGTAGGAAATTCATTCTCTTGATTATGAATTTAAGTTGTTACATGCATTGTTCATGAAAGTTTCATTGATATTATGTCCAAATTGGTGATTAGAGTCAAAAATTAGCTTAAAGTGTTGATTTGGGAGTGAATTCATACATGCATGTCCATATCATAGAGTTTGATGTAATTTTTCATGAAATTCTTACATGTATGTTCATATTCTAGTTGTGATCCAAGAATTCACCATGTTTTTGAGTTCAAGCTTGCATTTGATCATGCTTTAGAGCATTGAAATTCATAAGAACTCATGAATGTTATGTTCTTGCATTGTTCTTCAAGTTTCATTAAAAATTGTGTTCAATTGTCACACCCTTGGGTTTGATTTTATAAAAATGATCTTCAAAACATGTTGTAGTATGAGTTTCTAAGTGTTTTTCAGAAAATTGGCCCAAAAGGATGAGTTTTGGCATGTTTGACTCTTGGTTTGAGCTTTGGAAGCAAATCTGGAAAACCCAGATTTTGGCTTCCACGCTTGAGCGAAGGATTCCACGCTCAAGCGACCACCTTTGTGTTCAGAACTCCGTTGGGTGCTCGAGCAACGGAATGCTGGCTCGAGTGTAGATTGCAAGCTCTCAGGTTTTTGCATGTGCAGACGCAAGCTTGAGCGACGAGACCTACGCTCGAGCGAAGAATTGTGTCTCACGCTCGAGCGAGCATCGAGTGGAGAATTTCAGCAACCAGTACTTTTTGCATTTTTACAGATTGCTCGAGCGAGGGAGTCTACGCTCGAGCGACCTCTCTGTTTTGGTAAGCTCGCTCAAGCGGAGAAAGCCACGCTCGAACGAGACCCTTGTTTTCAACAAATTTTGAAAAGTGTTTTAAAGTACATTTTTGCATCCTCATTCCATCCTAGGCATTCCTAGGCCATGTTTAAGGCATCTTAATGAGGATAATGTTTTAGAACCACACCAAGTCAAGTTAAGGGCTAAATCATTAATCCCAAGTGTGTAACTTAGTGTGCGTTCGTTCTGCAACTGTGTAGGGTTGGCACCCGAGGACGCTGATTAGCCTGCCTATAGCCCAGTAATTTGTGAGTAACAATGTTGTAAAGCTATGTTAAATTATAATTATTTTCTGAATGATTAACTGTACTGCTTTCTGAAATGATATTGTTTACTAAATGAATGTTTATCCATAGCAACTTACTGTTACTGTTGTTGTTACTGTTACTACTACTGTACTGTTACAGAGATCTCTGACAGTTCCAATGTTTGGAACTACTACTGTTTACTGTTTTGATGGCCATCAACTGACTGTTCGGTCTATTAAGACCTACTGTACTGTTCTGCTATTGGATGTACCACGTATGATCGTTATGGTTTCTAAATGACTGATATGGCATGAAATATGAGCCACTAATTGAATAACTGATCTACTGATGCAAATGAGTGTTTTAATCACTGAAAAGACATCCATTCTTAACCCCTCTACACAGTTGTTATTCACTGGGTTTTAACTCACTGTTTATATTTATATGTAGGTGTCCAGGCACCAGACCGAAGCTAGAAGCGTCGAGTTAAGCTCATGTTTTGTCCAGCCAACCGTTGTGCCTCACTTCGAGGTTCTGAGTCTGCTCAAGCCAAGGCTGTTTTTGGGGTGCTTCGGATCCACCATTCTGTCTCTATTTTGTATTGACTGAATAAGACTTGACTGTACAATTTGGTGAAGAGATTAGGTCCCTAACTTGGATGTTATGTGCATCTAATGTGTATATATGTTTATGGTTATAAATGTGGTTTTGTCTATTAAAGTCTTTTTCCATTTAGATTTTCACAGTTCATTGGACATCTTTTATTTACTGTTTGGCTTCCGCTAGCCCCTTTATACTGTATTATTGTCATTACTGTTAAGTAGGCCTTTGGTAATCACGGATTACTAGCCGGTTACGATGTTAAACTCTTAGGGGCGGGTTTGGGTCATGACAAGCAGACCCTTCTTCTTTTTCTTCTTCTTCTTCTTCTTCTTCTTCTTCTTCGTCTTCAAAAAAACAACGAAAAAAAAAAACACACCAAAATGACGTCGTTTTGATGTCGGGCCATTCGAGCCATGCATTTTTCGAGCTACCAATCGGAGCTGTTTTTGTTATATGATCTTATGTCATGTTATTATTTTTTGTTATTCGTGTAAATGATAAAGGTTACAAGATAAGCATGGTGAAAGCTAGATTGAGAGGGCAAATGAGAGTGAAAGAAAATGTTGACAACTAGATAAGAAGGGCATGGTGGTGGCGAGAGAGGTAGGAGATGAACTACCAAGGCTGAGCCTCCGTTTGGGAAGTGGGTTGACTTTCTGGCTTTTTGATTTTTTTGACTTTTTTTTTGTGATAGAGGAGTGTAATGATTATGGGTTGGATTTGATGTTTTGTTTTTTGTGACTAAAATAGCCTATTTTATTTTTTGTGGCTATTTTAGCCCCTAACCCACTAAAACCAACTTCCCAAACTATGCCCGAAGAGGGTTGAGAAAGCATTAGCCATGAGTTAGGGTTTCAGGACAAATGAAGGGCATAAATGAAAAAGTTTATTTTGGTAATTTAAATTTTGATATTTTTAGTTATGGAATTTTGCTTTATCTCGTAAAAAATATATATAATAATTAAAACCTTTTGGTGCCTAAAAATAACAATGGCAAACAATTACTCGATGTTTAGGATTTGCTCTATTTTTTCTGTGATTGTTTTTGGATTTATTTTTGTTTTAGTAATTTAAAAAAAAAAAATTAAAATGAGACTTTTAAATTCTATTTAACGAGATGCGACCAACCCAAACAAAAAAAAGGTTCAGAAAAAAATAAATCAAGAATAGTGAAACAATTTTAGCTTATCCATTTATCTACTTTTTTTTTATAATAAAAAATATATATTTTTAAATCCGTCTATAAAAAATGGCGGCTAACCAAAAAAAAATTTGATATTATTTTAAAAAATTACTGAAACAGAAAAAATTCCCCGAAAAAAAAAAAGGCCTATTTAGTAGTTTCCAAACATCCATCAATCAATTTTTTTTCTTTAAATATTTTAATTATTACTGCTATTTTTGCAATTTTTTACAGGAGATGGCGTTTGGTGTAAATAGGGCCATTTAGAAACCAGTTAAAAAAAATCAAAAATCAAAATTTTAATATATTTTAAATCATATTATACCATCTATCTCTATATATCTATGTATTTATATTTCAATCTATGCTATATATTAAGTAAAATGGGGAGTTTTTAACTCTAAGATTTGTGAGAGTTATAATTTCTCAATCTAAATTTCTTGATTTTTTGATTTAAAAAAAAAATCTTAGCATTTATTGATTTGGTCAAAATCTTTTAATCAGTATTTATTAACTTTTTTTAATATGTCTGTATTTATTGATTTAATCAAAATTCCCTGATCAGCATTTAAAATCTCCTCATACAAATAATTATAGATACAATTTATGTATAGTTATTGCAGTACCCCTTTCAACTTCTCCTATACACTATGATTAGTGAAAAGATTGTTAAATTATTTTTATAAAAAATTTTAAAAAATATAATTTATATATTAAAAAAATCTAAAATAAATATAAATATCTATAATTATTTCATACATAACACGGGTGATAAGCTAGTAAAATTAAAAAATTAATTTTTAACCCAATACTAACTCTAGCATTGGGGGCTGTAATTCTCTCTCAATCTCTCTACTTTTAGAAAGATTGAAAATGAGACTTATAAGATAAATAAGTTTTTCTAAATTTCTTTCTATTTCTTAACATTTCTCTCCACTTAAATACATATCTCCGCTCGTTTTCTTTTCACTTCAAATCACTCCATCCAAACATAGCCTAACTCTAGCATCGGCGGCTGTAATTTAGCAGCGGTGGCCGGTGATATCTATAGTTGTTTCAATTCCATCAGAGAGAGAGAGGAGTGGGAATCGCAACGAACGATCGAACAATGAAAGTAGCTCCGAAGCTCATATTCCTTTTCAAAGACGCCGATGGCTTCGGCACCTCTATCTCAGACTCTCTTCAACCTAACCCTAACTCAACAACTCTTCGAAGATTGTAAGTCTCTCCTTCCAAAAAATTTAACAATTTCTCTGTTCATGTTGGTTCAACAACCTCATTTTCTTTACAGAGAAGACTCTTTCCAACTGTCTCTGGAGCGCTACGGCATCAGAGATCGCAAAGCGTCCGGCAACATCGTTCACTTTGTAGATCACGATGGCCATTATCAGGCATTTTTAAAATTTTTTTATATATGGTCCCCTTTACTACTGACTTTGCACATTATTTGGTTGGTTGTATTAATGTGTCAAAATTGATTTTGATAATTGCTCATTTAGCACAATTGAATCTTTAGCAAAATTGCACTTTCTAACAATTTATAATCCCCTCCTTGGCAGTCAAGTTGTTATAGCATACAATTGTGCATCAAATAATTCATAATTTTATAATTTGGGGATTGGAACTGGGAACATGATAAGGGGGCATATTTTGAGTGACCATGAATCAATTTGGTCAGCAATGGCATAGCATAGATAAAAGTACTCACTTAGGAGATTGTGGTTCTATGACATCCCATTGTGGTGTAAATAACAGTCATTTCAACCGCAGTACTGTCACCAATAATTACTTCTCTTAGTTACTGCATGCTTGATCTTTATGCATCCCGATCTTGCTTGTTTCCAGTATTGCATTAGGAGAAGGGATGTCCTCTTCCAATCTGGCTCATTCTGTCTCAAGCATTATCTGTATAAAGAACAAAATTTTACATTATTTGAACTCCTAATATCATTAATGAGATGCGGAACTTGGAAGTGAATTCAAGCAATTTGATTTTAGATGACATGTTGTTTAAGGTTCTTTCCTAGAAATATCTACTAGTTTTTTTACCTTCTGCTCTCCTTGCTTGATCTTTGTACCTCAACTACAAAGATGGGCCTGTACTGAACTTTCAGTTTGATTTTACATTTTGTCTTTGTATATCACTCAAGTTATGGGATACTTGGTACTCTTTTCAGGTGACACTGCTACTAATGCAAAATTATGAGCCTCCAGTCTTGGTATGTGCTATCAGTGAAGTTCTGGCATCAATAAATGGAGAAAGTTCATCAATCGTACCCACAGTTGTGCTCCCAATTATTGTGGCAACACCTAATCTTAAGCTGGAAAGGAAATACTCTACAAGAAGTGACAAAGTTTCACTTTATGGTGTGCAAATAGGTCCAGAAACAGATATTACTCGGGACATGGTTGCCAAAACTCAAAAGCCACCATCTTCGTTGCAGATTCATCATGAGCCCCTGGCATGCTTTCTTCAGTTGGTCCGTGTCTTGAAGCTGCCTACATTTGTTCTCATTGGGCAGAGTGGTCAACACAAATTTGAAAAAGATTTAGGAGAGGAACTTGAGGTATTTTTCTTCTTCAATTTTCATCTAGTTCAATTATTTTTGTTATATTTTGAACAATTATCAGAACATGGAAGTCGCAATTGATAATTTTGAGACTATAAATTGACACCCTGCCATGGATTCTAAGGTGGACTAAAATTTTGTGTGTTTTTCTTCCTATATAAATTGTTATGACTATAAGCTGAATGTTGTTGGGCACACCTAAGTTCTGCTATGTCAAACATGAATGCATGATTCATGCTCCTTAATTCTATTGCCTTCTTCTGTGGCTTGATAGCAACATTGTAACAATTTATGTTACGTGGGCAACTCCAGATGGGGGTGACCTACCATGTAGGACCAAACACACTGTGCACAGCGGGTATGCATTGAAGCAGGGATTGTTTCTTCATATCGCCTTGAGTATTTCAAAATGAGTTGAGCACCCATGTCAGACCCACCCATCATATCATTGTTATTGTTTTTTGATGCTTCACAATTCAGCTGCTGGTGTCCTAGGATTTAAGTTAGATGGAGTGAAATATGATCCATGTAACATATTTATTGGGAAGTGATGGGTGGGAGTGGGGCATGTATTGTGGAAGGGGTTTGCTTAGTTTGATATTTTCTCTAGAAAATGCTATCGGTCTCAAATTTTCTATCAAATGAATTCATTTGGTAGAAAATTGTATCCCTAGCATTACCCATTTTCTCTACATGAATCAATTTTCTATATACATGTTTCTGTAAGTGTTTTGTGGTTATTTTGCAGTTCGTGTATGATCCTCTGTTTTTTGTTCCCAGATGATCTATCAGATTGGAGAGCTATTGACAAGCATCTCTTCCTTGTGCTTTTTGAGAGAGAGGATAACATGGAATCCTACCAAGACATCAAAGGAGGTTGAGGAGCCATGGCGTGCACTGTATGGTTGAATTTCAGCTGTTTGGGGCCATTAAACACTCGTATGTGAACATTTGGTTGATGCATTGGGTAATCTTTAGGGTTCCCCTAACTTTCTTGGCAGATTTAAAGAAAAGCACGATGCTTAAGCGCAAATCACTTTACTTACTTTGATGATCATTGTCCAATATAAAAGACAAACACTGCTCGTACTTTGCTTCAGCTTTTCTGATGAGAGACTTTGTATTTCATTTTTGGTGAAATGCCTGTTTTCCTGTAGGTATTTTTGTGGAGACTCATTTCTTTTTCTTTTTTTAGTAAGTATATTTTGGGAGACGTTCCCAGATATCAACTTAACTGGGCACATTCTGGTGTTAAACCCACAAGAATGTAACTTGCCCCATGAAGCGGCGTGTGTTGGGCATGCATCATCGGTTTCCTTTTCTCCTTTCAGTCAAACATGCATTTCTATTTGAATACTGTTTTTTCGTGTGATCTAATGGAACTAATTTGTGTAAATTTTTATTATGTCATTAATGCTGAAACTGGACTTCCAGTGCCTAGTTGGAACAACATGAACTTGAATACCATAATGTTTGGGAACCAAGTTCCCAGATTTTTTTCTCATTTTTTCCACTAAAAGACAAAGGTTTTGCAAAATTAAAAAAAAAATAAATACAAACAAAATATTACATCCAACCCCCATAATCATTTCACTTTTTCTCTCACAAACATCACATCCAACCACATAAAAGCCCAACTATCTTCTCAAACACTAAAAATTTCTTATCTAATAATATCTTACAACTAAAAAAATTTACATAAAAATTCACTTTCCAAACATTTACAATGTCACTCCAAGGTGAACCTGCGCATTCTCTCTCTTTATCAAAAAGTTTGTGTCAATATTTTTTCTTTTGGATATGGGTTCATAAATTTGGGCAATGAGGACAATGACTTCGTATGTAAGCGATTTATGCATAGATCTTAATGGGTGGATTTATTGTATAATTAATTTTGTGAGAATTAATGACATTTTTTATCAAATATTATTAAAAAGTCATTAATTATTAATTTTCATTGATAGTTTAAAAATTATTACAAAAAAATGTCGCTAATTATTAGTTTTAGTGACAGTTTAAAAAAATCGTCACAAAAAAAAGTCAATTTTTAACTTTCAGCGATAGTTTGAAAAATTTGTCATACAAAAAGGTTACTAATTTTAAGTTTTAGCGACAATTTATAAAAATTGTGATAAAAAAAGTCACTAATTGTTAATTATTGGTGACATGTAAAAAAATTGTAAAAAAAATTAGCGACGATTTTATTAGAATTTGTTTTTAATAGAATTTAACGAAAATTAAGTTTAACTATTAAGCCTGGTTAATAGTTTATCTTAGTATGTACTGTTCACACATTTTTCAGTATGAATAAATTCATTTTCGTGGATGAGGGATGCAACGGGAGAGAAAATAAAGAAATATAGAGGGGCAAGGTTGGAGATGAGGGTATGTTTGGTTTGGTTTTGAGACAGTAGTTTTTAAAAATTATTTTGGAGAGAGAATTTAGAAATTTTTTTGGTTTGTTTGGTTGTTTATTTTGAAAGTAGTTTTGGAGTTTGGAATGATTTGATATTTTGTTATAATTGAGTAGATGTGTGTGAAAGAAAAAATGATTGAAAATGAGTGAGGAGAAATAAAAAGTGATTGATTGATAGGTAAGAGAGAGAAAGTGATTTTAAAAATTATTCTGAAAAATTTACAAACCAAACAAATTTTTTTTCCAAAATTAATCTACAAATCCAAACCAAACATACCCTACGAATGTTGGGAGTTGTGCAGGTTAAAGAGAATATAATTTTCTTTTAGGGTTTAAAAAAATAAAGCAAGCAAGTTTTATAATTTTGATATAATTTTATTGATTTATTTGACATTTTAATTCAAATAGTACTTCATTAATTTTTTTCATTGATTTTTTTAATCAATAATTTGTTAATTATATAAATTAAAAAAATAAAATGATTATATCTTTTATATTAAAATATGTATTTTCTTATTTATCGAAGTCCTTTCACACTAGTGTTTGGGAACTTGGTTTTTTGGTTTTGTTTTGGTTTTTTTTCACTAAAAGATAAATTGATTACAAAATCAAAAAAAAACAAATCTAAATAAAATATCATATCAAACTCCATAATTATTTCACTTTTTCTCTTACAAACATCACATCTAACTATAAAAAAATCAAACTATCTTTCTAAATACAAAAAAAAAAATTTCTCCAATAACATCTTACAACTAAAAAAAACCTCATCACATCATCTCTCTACTTTTCTGCACATCTTTTCGTAAAAAGACAAAAAGTGCACTTATTTAGGTCATCCCAAACAATCCCATAATTTTATTGATTTATTTGACATTTTAATTCAAATAGTACTTCATTAATTTTTTTCATTAATTTTTTTAATCAATAATTTGTTAATTATATAAATTAAAAAAATAAAATGATTATATCTTTTATATTAAAATATGTATTTTCTTATTTATCGAAGTCCTTTCACACTAGTGTTTGGGAACTTGGTTTTTTGGTTTTTTTTTTTTGTTTTTTTTCACTAAAAGACAAATTGATTACAAAATCAAAAAAAAATAAATCCAAATAAAATATCACATCAAACTCCATAATCATTTCACTTTTTCTCTTACAAACATCACATCTAACCATAAAAAAATCAAACTATCTTTCCAAATATAAAAAAAATTTTCTCCAATAACATCCTACAACTAAAAAAAACTACAAGTTCACTTTCCAAATACCTACTATGAGTATTAGTTTTTCTCTTTATTACTAATAGAGGTGTCAATGTAATTATATCAAATTTATGAGATTTGTTATTTTTTTTTTCAAATTTTTAAAGAGATTAGTGTAATTTATCAATTTTTTAGGATTAATTACGTCAAGACCCCTTAAATATTAGAAAATATTATTTTATTCTCTTATGTATAAATCTGTACATTTTAACTATTTTCACTCTATTCAAACCATCTGTATTTGTAAAAATTTTATAATTGAGTAAATCAATATATACTAATGGGTGGTATACATCTTCAAATAAATACGAATAAAAATTAATATTAATAAATATGTTTCTTATTAAAACCCATAATCTTGAGTTAGAACCTCGCTTAAGATTTGTATAATAATTTTTTATTCAAGACTTAATAATAGATTAAAGTCTCGTTTGACATGTACTTGTTTTAGTTTAAAAATCAAAAAATTATTAAAAAAATCAAAAAGTTTATAACCTATATCAAAAAGTCAAAGATTTTATTTTATTTCTACTTTTTACACATCTTTTCATAAAAAATAAAAAAATCATTATAAATATTAATTTTTTTTACTTCATATTTTAACCAAAAAATTAAATAATTACTAAAATAACATGTTTCCAAACCAGGCCTAATGGTATAATATAGACAGATATAGAATAGATGAGTTTATAGATCCAAGGATCTTCTGTCCCCAAATAATTCTATCACTTATCCCAAATCACTTACAATCATTAAATATGTCTTAAGATTTTTATATCTTAAAATTCTCATATGATGAAGTAATTATGAATAATTTGAAATAAAGGCCAAGTTTGGCATGTTTGAAAAAAAGATAGAAAGTCAAAAAGTCACTATCTTATTTAAGTCAGATTATCTTATTTAAGTCACATCACTTCTCTAACACATCACTTCAAACCCAACTCAAATCCAACTCATATTTCATAAAAAATTAAAAAATACACTTATTTAGATCATCTCAAACAATCAAAAAAAGGCAAAATTATTTAGGAAGAGAGGATGGTTGCTGAGTTCATGCATATGATAATTAATTTTTCAAGGCTGTGGTCAGAACGGGGTGTGACGAGGGAACGCAAGCTGTAAATAGAAACACACCACGGGTGGGCGCGGGTCGGTTGCGGCCATGAAACCTCTAATTCGCCATCCGTCCGTCAGATTGGCGGATTGAAGAAAATCAATCCGCATTCGTCTGCCAATCCGGCGGATGTAGATTGAGCGGATTGGCGGTTTGGCGGATGGATGCGAATCGGTTGGGCGGTTTAAAATTTTATAAATTTTCAACATAATTTAACTTGTGCACTTCCTTAAAAAAAAAAGAAAAAAAAAAGTATTACAGTCAATGACTTAAAAAAGTATTACAATCACTGTATGCCTTATCCAAAGAAAGAAAGTTTGAAACTTTAGAATATCACGATCACTGTATGCTTCATCCACATATTACAATCACAGCATGATTTATCCCTGTAAAGTATTACAATCTGTGATTCTTAAAATATAATAACAATTCAAACAACCAAAACCATAAACAGAGCAGTAGTAGAGATTGAATGTCTCTATATTGTTACGTCTATATATATTTTTGAAAACAAAAACCAACCAGCATATATCATATTTTTTATTTATTATTTTTAGAGTTAGATTTAAAAACTAAAAAATATAGATGAATAATACGTTTAGTTTTTTCAATTCAAAAATATATTGAAGTTGAAAACTTTTTTTCAACAGAATATTTAAACTATTTTTCAATTGAAAACACAAACATAATATTTAAACAAATTGAAAATACAAAGTCTTATAAATTACTACAGGTGCTCACGATTTGACGGTTTGGCGGTTCAGTTGCGGCAAAAAAATCTTAAATCCGCCATCCGTCCGCCAAATTAGCGGATTGGAAAAAATTAATCCGCAACCGTCCGCTCATCATCACGCATCCGTCCAAAATATGACGGATCGATTCGATTCGATCGATTTTGACGAATCGGTATATCCGCTGCTCACTCCACAAACACACCCTTTTTGAAACCGCTTAAGTTTCCCGCACTCTCTTACCCTCACTCAGCGCTCTCTTCAGTGCATTGCGGTCCCGTTTCAAAAACCCTAGCGCCACAACAACGCCCAATTCAATTCAATCAATCAATCAATCCGAGAGAGTGAATATATATATAGAGAGAGATCTGCACTTCAAAGTAGTAGTAGTAGCAGCAGCAGTTCCCACAATAAAAAATGGATTCGAAGGTCGACGAGGATCACTGCAACACTGAAACCGAGGAAGGCAGCAACGCTCACCAGAAGAAGCGGTCGCGACGCGTGAGCTTCGCTGAGATGACTTCAGTTCGCTTCTTCGACAGAGACGACGAGTTTGATACCTCTTCGGACCCCAAACCTAACTCCGAATCGGCACAATCAAATGAGGGCTTAGCCGACGGCCACAATGAAGAAGAGGAGGAAGACGATGACGATGAACTCGATGCCGCGAGGTCTTTCTTGCGACCAATGGAGTCCCCTTCTCCTGGAAGTACATTTGGTTCCGCCACATCCAATGATGGTAACTTCTATGGGGATTGACTCCAAATATTTTGATTTTACTTTTTTCGTTTTTCATTTTTCATTTAGAATGGATATTATCTTGTTATTCCTAAATTTAAAAGGAGTTGTGATGAATGGGTTGTTATTATTAAGAATGATAACTGGAAACTGGAAGGATTGGGATTGACAAGTCCTTGTTCAATTGGAGTTTTCTAATCTTTTGTTTGACCCTCTATTTTGTTTAGTTATTCATGCTAGAAGTTAATAGCAATTTTGTTTTGTATGATAAATCAATGATTTTTCATCAAGTTCCACGGTGTGCAAACTTTATGATATGTTAAAGCATGCAAAACAGAATCGAAGGCACAACAATAGATTTCTGTTAACTTTTATTTCTTCCTCTGTACCTTTATCTATGGAAGGAAGGATAATTGGGGTTCTTTCGGGAGCAAAAATAGGTAATTTTATCAACAACGCTGTTCTGAATTGCTTCATAGCTTATATGTATGTATGTATGTATGTATGTATGCTAAGAAGTACGGACACTTCTAAGAATGTGACGTATCTGTGTTGGATACCGACACTCTTTGGACACTCTTAGGACACGTGTCCGACACTCTTCAAAATGTGTCCTATTTTTAATTTTTTTTTAAAGATTCAAACACTCTTTACACACTTGGAGGACACACGAATTAATCTTTTAAACACACGTGTCTATCGTTTAAACACACGTGTCTATCGATTAGATACATGTAAAATTAATTATAAATTTGAACAAAATAATTTAATATACAATAATAAAACAAAACCTATATAAATTTATAGGAATTAGTGCCATATTGCATTTTTTATTATCTTTGAATGACATATTTATTTCTATGGGGATTGACTCCAAATATTTTGATTTTACTTTTTTCGTTTTTCATTTTTCATTTAGAATGGATATTATCTTGTTATTCCTAAATTTAAAAGGAGTTGTGATGAATGGGTTGTTATTATTAAGAATGATAACTGGAAACTGGAAGGATTGGGATTGACAAGTCCTTGTTCAATTGGAGTTTTCTAATCTTTTGTTTGACCCTCTATTTTGTTTAGTTATTCATGCTAGAAGTTAATAGCAATTTTGTTTTGTATGATAAATCAATGATTTTTCATCAAGTTCCACGGTGTGCAAACTTTATGATATGTTAAAGCATGCAAAACAGAATCGAAGGCACAACAATGGATTTCTGTTAACTTTTATTTCTTCCTCTGTACCTTTATCTATGGAAGGAAGGATAATTGGGGTTCTTTTGGGAGCAAAAATAGGTAATTTTATCAACAACGCTGTTCTGAATTGCTTCATAGCTTATATGTATGTATGTATGTATGTATGTATGCTAAGAAGTACGGACACTTCTAAGAATGTGACGTATCTGTGTTGGATACCGACACTCTTTGGACACTCTTAGGACACGTGTCCGACCCTCTTCAAAATATGTCCTATTTTTAAATTTTTTTTAAAGATTCAAACACTCTTTAGACACTTGGAGGACACACGAATTAATCTTTTAAACACACGTGTCTATCGATTAGATACATGTAAAACTAATTATAAATTTGAACAAAATAATTTAAGATACAATAATAAAACAAAACCTATATAAATTTATAGGAATTAGTGCCATATTGCATTTTTTTATTATCTTTGAATGACATATTTGTATATATAATATATAATAAATATATAAAATTATATATTTAATGCTTGTCCCCCACGTATCGTGTCCTGTATTTTTTTAAAATTAACGTGTCGGCATGTCCGTGTCATATCCGTATCGTGTCACGTGTCTGTGTCCATGCTACTGGGTATGTATGTATGTATGTAGATGGTTGAAAACCATATAATTATTTGTTGTTGTCTTGAAATTACTTGAATTGCACAAATGGTAATACTATAGTTAAACGCAATATGCATTATTCATTGAGACACACTCAACCATATATTGCTTATACTTGAGGGAATTAATCCACAAATGTCTCATAATCAGTAAGAAGATTGTCTCTAAGGCATGTCTTTTGAAATAAAATCTACCAAATAACTGATGAAATAGCAAGTTAGAAATATGCGTTTGTATGATTTATAAGGTGTAATAAATGGAAGAGACTGACAAATCAGTCCAGAATTAGCTCAAAAGATATTTTGTTGCATTACTTGGTTATGATATGTTTGATCTCTCTCGATGCTCAATGCCCCTAAGGTGGAGGAGAGGGCATTTGGTTTGGCCAAAAAGAGAGAAAAGATCAACCAACTTTAGCTTAGTCAGACGTGAGACATGTGCTCCAGAAAGAATTTAGGACCTCAACTCTAAGCACTTACATTCACTTGTGGAGTCGTGACTATTTGCTGTTCTATTAGACTGGAAAGAAGAAAAAGGGAGAGAAAAGAAATGTAAAAAGGACCAAAATAAAGGGGAAACAGAAGTTACAGAATAAGCAGGCAGTCTGTATTTGCACACTTACAATCATTGATAGACTATTTGACAATATTGTATCAAGATTCTTATTAAAAATTCTGCTGTATGAAAATTTTAGTTAAGTTTTTGGTGTTCTTTGAAGTCGATCACATTTTAAATGAATGACTTAGTTCTGAGGAGCGGGTCTCTGGTTGGAGCCTGACAATATTGGACAAACACTTCTCTTCATAAAGTTTCAATTCTCAAATATATATATATATATTGAAGCACATGGACAATGCGATCATTATGTTTAGTTTCTGGCCAATTAATTGAAATTTTGAGTGAATATGCTTATGACATATCATGATTTTTCCTCCCTGAAATTTGGTCCGACCCTAGTGAACACTGGAAATGTGAATGTGACTGATATTCTTTGTTAAGCAGGGAGCATGTTGAATAGGGTAATGCAAAGCCACATTTTGTGGTTCAATATTATCAGCAGTTTAGGGACATTTTAACATGTTTTTTATGCCAATGATCTCTTCTACTGTCCTGTCTCATGGAAAAATCGTGAATAACATCTTAAAATTTTTTTCTTGTAGAAGACAATTTTTTTGGCCCTGTATCAGCTAGTTTTATCAGACCTGGACGTTTATCAGATTCTGCAGCTTCAGATGAAAACCATGATATTACCATGGATTCAACAGCTTTCTCAATGCATTTTCGTAGCCTGGCAAGGTCAGACTCAGGTGGGGACTTGAAAACCCCAACAGGTGTTCATCTTTATTTTGAAGAGAAAACCCCAACACAGAACATTGTCTCCACCGATCTAGGGAGTTCCATGGTATTGACTGTAGCTAAGGAGCCAATTTCCATATCTTCTACATTTGTTGATAAGTTAAGTGGTGATATGAGTCTTGTTGAAGAAAACCCACATAAGTATGACTATGGGAGACTATCTCCTGGATTGGATGCACTCTTGGCTGAAGGAAGTAAGGACTTGCATACTGTTTCAGTCTCTGATAATATCACTATTTCCAAGTCACCAATAAACATGAAAAGCAGGTTGTTGCCGTCAAAGACGCATGGTGGCCCCGTGGAACCTATTGATAGTATATATAAAGAAATGGACCCCATTGATACTCATGATACGCTGGCTGAAGCAGTCCCTTTTGATGTCTCTATTGATAAGAAAAACTGGTCTCCTAATGAGTTGACTAAAGTAAGAGCTCTATTCCACGGATTCAAAGTTCTTATTTTTCTTGTGCTTTGATTTATGATTTTTATTTTATTTGGTGTTGAGTCAATCAAGTCCAGTTTTTTTTTATTTGAATAGCAGTAATACTTGGAAGTTGCAAATGATAACTTGGATTTCTCTCTGCTGGTTCAATTCCTGCAAGTTCTTTTTGTAATTTGTACTGCATTCTCTTCCTTCTTTTCTCTCTTGTTTTTCCCTGAAGTTCAAGGAATTGTTTCTATTTGGGGATAATGTCAGGTACTTTAATGGATTTTGGTGCTTCTTCTTTGAACTAAATGTGTGCATTTTCAATATGGCTAGCGTTGCTATTAGTGTCAGTTTTTTTTTTTGTCTTTTTAAACGTAGGAAACTGATTATGCATAGTCATGTTCTTGTAGAGACGATTGGACAACATCATTTTGGTTTAGACCTCTCAGAGTCATTTTGATTGGCACCTCATGTCTTTCTCACTTCCATCATAACCTGAAACAAACTTATCCATTATTCTTGGTGTTGATTATTGGAGTCTCTTTGTCAATTGCTAGTTATTTGGTTGTATCATTTGTGATACCTCTGAGTGATTTTGCTTTACGCACATATTTTTCTCATACGCCTGGTTGCTTTGTCGTGATTTAATGTTTTGTTCTCCCACAAATAACAGTGGAAGAAATTCATAAATTGAAAGTGTCATAAACACCATTCCTATGTTGCTTTGAACTATTGTACTGGGTTATGTACATGTTTTCTTATTTCATTTGTAGGGCCTGCTGTCTGGTAAGAGTAAGGAGTCAGATGCTGTGGAAATAAGGAGGCCCAATTTGGATTTTGATGCTGTTAATTGTGGCACCCCATCAAATCTAGATAATAGAGTTAGTCTGCTAAATGTGAGTGCACTGCGTGAATGTGAATCCCCATTGGCAGGGTCAATGTCCTCGTTATGTGCTAAACAAAGGCAAATAGTTTTGGGTAGTGCTAGTCCATCCAAAAGCCTACAGATTACTACTCCTTCCCCAAAGCAACCAGGTTCATTTGCAAGAGATGAAATAAGAAAACACGGTGAGAGTGTGTCATCCATTCAGAAAAGCATGTCTAAACTCAAAATGCTGGAGGCTTCTCCGTTTTCCTCAACTCTCAAACTTAATATTGATTCAACACTCATATCGTCAGAGTACCTTTCTAAGACTACTAGGTACAATACTGTACTAGATAGAAACATAGAAGATGCTCAAACCAAATGTGTGGATGCTTCAGTTGCTTGTGAAGATCAATATGATGATATGCAGAAAGTGGCAGAATTGTTTACTCAAAGTCCCTTAAGGAAAGAGATCTCTAATGCGACACATAATGACAGGTTGCATTCATTTGTTGTGGAAAATGTACTTTCTGCACCGAAAAGAAAAAGGGAAGATGTGATACCCAGGGGCAGTGATTTTTTGGATGAAATTACCAGGAACCAGAGGAGTCCAAAACTTCATAAAAGTGAGAGTTGTGATTCGGAATTCTTGTCAAATCATCGTAACGAATGTAACACTGAAACATCTACTGTGGGATGTAAGGCAAGATTGGTGGATTGGGCTGATGTATGTATCTTCGCTGGATTTGTTTGTTTTGTTTAATAGTCTTGATTAGCCTGTTCTGATACTGGCCAAGTAATTTTTCTCCCCCTCATTTCTAGCCAAATTTAACTTAAGGTTATACCTTTCAGGTCTTCTCAAATTTCAAAGCAGATACAAAACAATTGATTTCTCCATCAATTGATAAGCTTAATTTAAAAGCGGTATCTTTCCTTCTTTGGGTTTCTATCAATCTGTTATTTGCTGATGTAGGAGTTTTAAATTTCAGTATTTCTCAGTATTTGTTTATTTTTGTTCTGTAGATTGGTGTGCTGGAAGACGTTTTGGAGAACCTGCGGAGGTTGCAAATGTATGAGATGCTTTGCACTGAAATCCATTCTCAGGTCTGCTCGCTCACAAGGTTATTTTGAGTTATTTGGATAGAAAATAATAATCGAATCATGGTTTTATGGATTGCATGCTTTTGTAGACATAATAATCGAATCATGGTTTTATGGATTGCATGCTTTTGTAGACATAAATTAGGAGCAAGTGCTAGTTGTTTACCTGCTAACACTAACTATGTTGACTTCATGAACTGCCTTCCACAGAAATCATTTGAGAATCTCAGTAATTTTAAAAACAAAAGGTAATTTCTTGTGTCTCTGAATGACATTCTTTTATAAATTTATATAGTTGGAAAAAGATTTGGTTTAGCTAAACACAGGTTGGCATCTCTGATATTCATTTTCTCTCTCTTTTCTCTGGACATTTGTGTTAATGCTGTTGCAGGGTAGCGGAAATGAGACTGTTGTTGCATAGATTTGTGCATGAACAGGCAAAGTTGCAGTTTATGTCAGTGAAGCGAGAGAGATTAATGGTATTATTTATATGTACTTTGGTTTCCAGATATGCAAATTGGCTTTTGACATGCAATTTATCTTGCACATGCAGAAAAAAGTACAATTACTGAGCTCTGTAATTCAGGAATCTCAAATGTTAAAGTTGAATTCTCTGCCACGTCTATCTGTACCATGTGCAAAAGATGCTCAAGTTGATCATAGTCATTGCCAGTCAGTTAATTTCGATGGCACACAAGAGGAAGAGGTATTAATATCAGAATTAGGATATGGTCAGCGCTGTGAAATTGCTATTCCAAGTATAGAAACATTCTCTCTTTTTTATATTTATTCCTAGAATTGGGTACTTTGGGGCTCCAATTATCTGGTGGAAACACGCTGTCTTCGATGGTGTCCTGAAGCTTATTATTGTCCCTAGTTAGGCATTTTTGGGTGGCTCAATTATAAAACATAAGTTCCATGATTGTCTCATCGCCACTCTGTCTAAATAAAAATAAGAGTATGCATAATTATATAAATTGGATAAGGGAAGCTAATACCATCCCCAATCAAAACTGATCGGGCATTCATATTTATGTATCTACCTATCATCATCAGCTCTACAGGGGAAAAAAGTTAGGAAATCACCCCTATAGGGGCAGTGCCGATTACCATCCCTATTGATAATATATTGCTACTCTTCTAAGTCAAAACTCTACACCCACTCCTCCCTCTCTTCATAACTGAGATGCATATTAAACTGTGAAGATGGTCTTTAACTAATTGTGATTGAGGGAAAAAAGTGCATTAATCATGGTATTGCCCAAATATGAATTCAATTATCTTTACTAATTATTTACCCCATTGAGATTCAAAGATTGGGAAATTATTTTACTCGTTTTTTTTTTTTTTTTAAATTTCATTTTGTTCAATTTTATGATGGATGATGGATCTTGTGTTTTCCAAGACACCATAGGTGCTGGAATATTCATCTAGGTAATGCTAGACCGATAGGTTGATTTACTTTCTTCTCTCCACCCTTCATTATAAGATTTGTGTGGCTTAAAAATTGTTTGCTTCTTTGTTTAGAATTTTTTGTGCTGCTTCCTATTTATAATCTGTGGTGGCTCAATTATACATGTTACCATAGATTAGGGAACAAACTCAAATGGATTTATTATAAGATAACATGTGATTTTACAATGTCAGGTGGTTGGTGACAAAGTAACTGCGTTGAGGCTGGTATTGGAGGCTTCCGAAAGAAAAGTTATAAGCTTAACCAAATCTTTTCACACTTCTTGTAAGATGAAGGGAGAACCCAGCTGTGGTGACACAATGTTATTGGTTAATGATCATTTGAAGAAGAAAGCTTGTTGCCGGTTTATACGCTTGGATTTGCAGGTCTCTACTTTTGCCGTGCTTATTTTCACATCATACTATTACAATGTCTTCTGTTGCTGAGACATGTCCTGTATGTCATTTGGTCAGTCGTGGGAAGTTGCTAATCTGGAGAGTACGGGTGGTCATCATAATATTGTTCTCAACTACCTTGGCTTCATTATTCAGTGGTTGCTTCTTTGCTCAAATTTTCCCTTAATTTTGTTCTCTCTTTGTGGCTCACTTTAGATGCGAAATTTTCTTAGATCATTATAGTCTTATCAAATGCTATTGGTGTTGACAGCTTCACAATAAATGTTGGTTCAGTTTCAAGCATAGTCATTTCAAATAAGTTGAATGATGCAAACATCTTGAAGGTAATGCAGTCATTTTGTTTTAAGAGGAAGTTTACCTTACTGTTTGTATTTTTTACTTTGTTTAATTCAGTTATTTTTGCTCAGTAGAGTTTCCCAAATATGGATGTTTGCACTGCTTTTGCATTTGCGTTTAATGCGAACACCACTCAGAACTATGTTGGTTCTAGAAGTTTTACTCAAGAAACACAAGTGAGTTTCTGAACCTCTTCCTTGCATTTTTAGCTCATCATTCTTCATCACAGCAACTGAAACCCCAGCTCCTGCCACGGAGATCACATTTGTCTGAAACAATGATAGTTATTCTATTCAATGCGTTTAGAGATTTGCTCTACACCAACCTTTTGTCATGCCTTTTTTGCCTCACAGTCAACTTGTATTATTGTTACATTCATCAGTTGCTGGGTATTTCTAATATTGATTTCTTTGTATTCATCTCTCATCTTGGTACTGTTTTTGCAGATAACTAGTTCAGTTTTAGGTAATTTGTTGGATGTTGTTGAGGAGGTACAGGTAGCACGTGTTGAGCTTCAAAATCTGACCTACTCAAGTTTTCATTCTCCATCTGGTAATATATATCCCTGCGTTTTTGTTACCTAGATGTGATACTCGTTGACAAAATTAAATGTTTGATTCTATTGTGTCATCCTTGACTAGTGGGATGTGATGTGGTTCAACATAGTTCAACGTTACACAGATAAAAGTTAATTTGTTACCTAGATGTGGTACTTTTTTATTTTTTTTGTGCGCATGTGTAATGATTTATGACTGCTTAATCCACCCTTACATTAAGGAAAAGAAAAAAAGTATCCATGTTTAAATGCCTAAGTCAACTAAATGCATAGTCTTTGGCATCATAGAAATTTGTTCCTTATTTTTATTTTATGCTACTTTTTTATTGACTTAAATTTTTTTTAATGTTACTTTTATTCATTACGAAAATATTATGTATTTTGTCATGTATATGGATCCGTAGATTTGAATTGCATTCTATTGATTCTTGCAGTTGAGCAGCTTGAACTACATCTTCACTTCATCGATTTTAGCAGTAGTAGAAAGGTGGCATTGATTCTTGACATGTCATGTTTAAAATGGTATAATTTCGTGATTCTACTCAATTTAGCAATGGCTTAACTTCTCAAGTTCCTTAGTCAAACTTGCATAGCATCAGCAATGCATTTTTTAATCTCAGTTTTACCATATAACTATTTGTTGTTAAAGATGTTAGATTTATCTAGGACAAGATGGTCTTGCATGGTGCATGCAGTAGATCTCTTCTTATTGGTTGAACAACATGGATTAGATGTTTAATTCTTCCATGTCATGGAAGACTTGGCTGCTAGAGGAAATGGATCCTGTTTCTGAACTGGCTGCTTTTCAGTTTCCGTGTTCCCTTGTTCCTTTTCCTTCACCCACCCCCACCCACACACAAAATGCGACCAGTCCTTGTTTGATTCTTTGGTTGTTGAGTTGTTTTAACTCCGACCTTGAAGTTGTTATGTGACCACTGACCAGTTACACGAAATGAGCATTCTTTACGTTAGAAACTTTTGGTTGTAGTTCAGATGAAAGGCATGGTTATATATATATATATATATATTTAATCGGCAAAAACAGAAAGGTTTTTTTTTTTTTTTTTTTTTAAAAAAAAAGGCAGGGTTACAGTAGGTCATGGTCTTTTAATTCATTTGATCTGCCCTTTTTTGGTTATTGGTCATGCCATCAAAGTAAATGTTCTAACTAGACGTTGATATGTGTGTGTGTGTGTGTGTGTGTGTGATTGTGATACTCTTATGCAGATTTGTCCTTGTCTCTTAATTATTTATTTGACTTTGTCCAATGTTCTCAAACAGGGGTATATATCCTTCAGAGATTATACCATCTCAGTTGGAGAGTCCATCCAACGTGTCACAAAAATCACTGCCTGAACCACTCTCAGCTGAAATTATAGCTGCAATTCAAAGCATCAGAGTTGGATATGCGAGGATTATAAGTCTTTGTAGGTGTGTTTCCTTCAAACTTGGAGCGGGTAAACAGCTATTATAGAGAAAAAGGTGTAATAAATGAAACCACTAACAATTTGAGGGTTTGCCTACATTGCCAGTGTGGAAATCTGTTGGTACAGTGTAAATCATAAAATGCAGGTGATCTTATGTGCTAATGTAATTTTTATCCAAAGATATACTACTGCCCGTGGTTTCAGACTTGTGCTTTTCACTGGAGTGTATAGAATCCGAAGCAGTTTGTTGCTGAGTTGCCGAGAAGTTTTCAATCTATTCGAGGTACGCTTATTCCTCATCATCAATATATATTGGTTTCTACTAAGCACCAATCAATTTGGTTATTTTTGTCTGTTTTCCCAGTCTGTCAGTGCCTTTCTTTTGTTTGGCATGGGTATAGGAGGTGGGTAAATCTGTGGAAATTAGCAAATGAGTCTGAAACATCACCTTAGTTGTGTCTCCCGACTAATGGTATTTTGTTATTTTTTTATATTATTAATTACATTTTTGAAACATCACTTAACAAGATATGGGGTCAATTGACCCAATAGTCAATTTTAAAAGATTAATGAAAATTACACTCATACCCTTGCTTAATGCATCTATAACTTTGCAAATATATTAAATATTATGAGATGTTTTGAAAAATTGGTTAAAAGTTGACTTTTTGATTTTTTGGCTTTTTGTGAATAAAAAATGTAAAAGGTAATATGATTCAAAATGAATTAAAAGCCAAAAGTTAATTTTTAACCAGCTTTCCAAATGAGTCTTATATAGCCATTAAAATTTTATTTTCACTTACATATACAAATGTGCATTCATAAAGTACAAGGTCTATGATTAGATGATGATTTTGATTTTGTTAATTCATTTTAACAAGTGGCCAATAAGCTTTTCATTGATAGGTTATATATTGGAATTTATTGGTTATTTTATTGGAGTCCCGTGATAATTTCACTAAGTTCTTCGCTTATGGGTATAATTTATTGTTTTAAGATGATCAAATTCGAAAAGGAATATTATTACCGCCTGTCAAGACTCTAAACACAATTATTTTTTCGGATGATATGGCATCAACCTTTCCAATCTGGTTGTGTTTTGTACTTTTATTATTTCAGAATTTTTTATTTTTCTTTCAAACTCTGTTTTTTAGTGTGAAATTATCATATTAATTGTTTATATATATATATATTTATTAGGGGGAAAGTTGTATGGATCTTTTCAAACTTTGTTTTTTTTTTTTTATGTGAAATCATCATATTATCCTTATGGACAGTGAATTTACAAATTATTGATGGTAAAATTATTTTTACACAATTATGTTGAGATTTTTAAAATAATTATTCATTTGTTAGGTTTTTGGTTTTAAAAAATTGGTTTTGAGTTTTATTTTTCATATATATATATTTTTTTGTCATTTTTTTGTACTTGTTAATGTTAATTGTACTTAATTTATTAAATGAATGCAAAAATATATATAAATTTTGTGTTTTTTTTTTGGTAGTAAAATTTCTTTTTAAATTATTTTTACAAATATTTTATTTTTTGGTGCTTTTAAAATGATAAAATAGATTAAAATATTTTAAAAAATATTTAAGACAAAAAAAACATATTTCAAAAACTAAATCGAAATTGATTTTTTATTTTATTTTATAGAGAAGTTACTTAACCAAACCAAATAATTTTTTATTTTTATTTTTATTTTGATATTTAAAACGAAAAAACACTCATTTGGAAATTGATAAATAGAGCCTAAATTAAAGAGAGAAACAGAGCAATTAGGCATCTCTTGATGGTGTGGGAAGGTGTTGAATCTCACGAGTCTTATCATTGTACCTGAAGTGGCTGATTGGTTACAGGTGTCTTCCTTATCTTGAGTACCTTGTACACATTATTATTAAGGTAAATTATAAATAGGGCAAATTATACAAATAGTTCTTCTATTTTGAGATTTGTGTCATTTTGATTTTTGATTTTTTAATTGTAACATATTTGACTGTGAATTCTGAATTTTATTTCAAATAAGAACAATTGAAAATATCATTAGATTTTTTAAGAGTAAAATTGTCAATTTGATAAAATATAAATTAATTTGACAAAAATAAATGTTAAATAAATATTTTTAAATTTTTGAATTTCTTGTACACATTATTATTAAGGTAAATTATAAATAGGGCAAATTATACAAATAGTTCTTCTAGTTTGAGATTTGTGTCGTTTTGATTTTTGATTTTTTAATTGTAACATATTTTACTGTAAATTTTGAATTTTATTTCAAATAAGAACAATTGAAAATATCATTAGATTTTTTAAGAGTAAAATTGTCAATTTGATAAAATATAAATTAATTTGACAAAAATAAATGTTAAATAAATATTTTTAAATTTTTAAAAATTATTTCTATCCACTAAAAATAAAATTATATAAAATTGATAAATCTTTTAGATATTTATTTATTTTTTTTATCAAATTAATTTTTATTATGTATTTGGATGATAATCATGTAAAATTAATTTAAAAAAATTAATTATGTAATTTTTATTAATTTTACATAATTTTGTCATTGGTGGATAAAAATAATTTTAAAAATTTAAAAATATTTGTTTGACATTTATTTTTGTCAAATTAGTTTATATTTGATCAAATTGACAATTTTACCTTTGAAAAATCTAATGATATTTTCAATTGTCCTTATTTGGAACAAGATTCAAAATTTAGGATCAAATGTGTCACAATTGAAAAGTCAGAGACCAAAATGACACAAGTCTCAAACTATAGGGACTATTTGTGTAATTTGTCCTTATAAATATATTCTTCAGATTTGTTTAAAATACAGATTATCTTATATGATTTAAAAATTTATAAACATTTTTTTGCCAGAATTTTGTTTTTATAGAATTAATTAAAAAAATAAAATTCATAATTACTCTCATATAATAATGAAATTATTAATTAAAATATATATTTAATATCATTAAAAATTATTAATTAATTTGATAATTTATTAATAAGAGAATTAATTTATTATGAAATTAGAAACTTTACGAAGTAGAATGTAATTTTTAAAATTATAAGGGTCAATTTTTATTTTATTAAATTTCAGTGGATGTATTTATATGGGAGTTTTTTTGATAAGTGAGTTTTATTCCATCCAACTCATATTCTTTTAGACTATTTCATTAGGTCCTATTTGAGGTAAGACCAAAACACTAGCGATCTTTCTTGTCTCTATTAATGTTGATATTTAATATTGATTGCCATTATGTTTTGATAGTTTCCATGACTATTTCTATTCCCCACATTTTCATTCCAAAAAAATACATTAACTACACACTATTATTTAATGTTGATATATATTATACATAAAAAATTAAATATGATTTTTTATTGATTGTTATTATGTTTTAGTAATTCCTATTCATTCAAATATTAATTGTACTTGATAACGTGAATGTTTACATTAGATGACGTAAACGTGAACGTGAATGTTCACATTAAATAACGTGAATGTTCACATCAAATGACGTGTGATAAAGGTGATGTTAAGGTTCATATCAACATTGCATTAAATTACACAATCACAAGTCTCAACTTTCATTTGAATATAAACATGACTGTACGTGATAACGTGAATGTTCATATTAAGGTTCACATTGGATGAGAGAGAATGTTCACATTATTTTTAATGTGTTGTCAATTAAAAATATATTCACATTATATAATAATATAAAATAATAACATTAATGCTATTTAATTTGTGTATAAAATTCCTTATGTCTTGATCCTTTCCCTTCTCTTTCCTCTTCTAACATTAAATATCAATATTAAATATAAGGGTATAAGAGTCTTAAAAAATAGCATAAATCAATAAAAAAAATTATGAAATAAAACTATAAATACACAAGTCTCAACTTTCATTTGAATATAAACATGACTGTACGTGATAACGTGAATGTTCATATTAAGGTTCACATTGGATGAGAGAGAATGTTCACATTATTTTTAATGTGTTGTCAATTAAAAATATATTCACATTATATAATAATATAAAATAATAACATTAATGTTATTTAATTTGTGTATAAAATTTCTTATGCCTTGATCCTTTCTCTTCTCTTTCCTCTTCTAACATTAAATATCAATATTAAATATAAGGGTATAAGAGTCTTAAAAAATAGCATAAATTAATAAAAAAAATTATGAAATAAAATTATAAATACATAAGATTAAGTGGGTTAAAAAATTCATTTATAGACTTCTTAAGTTAAGATACTTTTAAATAAGATTCATTAATAAAAATCTCTATTTATAATTTATCCTTCTTATTATTATTATTATATTTATTTATGAAGTTGTTCTCCTATGTGTTTACTTTTGTTTTTTTCCCAACCACAGTCTCCATACTCGCTACCTCTATCATCCACTTTTTCATATCATGCTCTCTCTTTGAAATCATAATAAGAAAGCAAAAGCAAAGCAAACTACTACTTCAATAATAAAACACTTTACATGTGATGAATTATGGGGATGCTATCAAAGTCATTGAACGGAAAGTGTAATGCGTATGCGTACAACCAAATACTTTGTGAAAACATTTATTAACGATAATGAAATGAGTTAGCAAAAGAAATTGCCACATCCAATATTAATAATTGTATTTAAGGCAAATTATATTAATGTTCCCTATAATTAAAAATTTGTGTCGTTTTGATTCCTAATTTTTTAATTGTGTCACATTTAATTTTGAATTTTAAATCTTGGTTTAAATAAGAACGATTAAAAATACTATTACTTAATTTGAAAAGCAAAATCGTCAATTTAATAAAATGTAAACTAATTTAATAAAAATAAATATCAAAAAAATATTTTTGAATTTTTAAAAAGGTAAATTACATTGACACCCCCTGATATTTATGTTTGTTATAGTTGTCATGACTCGCTTCTCGTACCCAAGAGTTAAGTATCGTGATGACTAGTAACTGAGGTTACTTCCGGCCAATTCTTAAACAAATAAATAAGCGCAAGCGGAAATAATATTTAAGTGAGGGTATCAAAATAATCATTAGAGTTTCTATTTTTATTATAAAATTTATTGACCAAAAAAACCAATATTTACATATAAACATATCATAAAAGTGTTATGTATGTCTATTCCGCAGCCCCGCATCTAAGATTTTTTAAAAGCTATTTCTGAATTGCATTGTTTCTTGAAAATTCGTAAACTGCTATAAGCACATGGCAGAATGAGAAATA